TCATCTGACGCATCAACTCGAGTTGAGGATCTTCCTCGTCGAATGTACGCACCAAAATGTCATCGTCACTGGACGAACCATCGCTGTCGACTTGACGACGTCCGGCACCACCTTTGCGAGCTCGCGCACCGCCTCGGCGACCGAACGAACCCTCGTTACTTGCGTAAATACGTTGCATACGGCTCTCCGAACGTGGCGTAACCATGTGCGAGTCTTGAAAGTACGGTGAAGCTTCGGTAGTGCCAAAGGCACCACGCTCAGCTCCACGCTTGGTCGGAGGAGTACGAACGAGTCGTTGGGGCGTCGGCGGCAGTGGAATCTTAGACGGATCTTCATCTTGAATCATCGGTCGACTCACAGGCTGCTTTCCGGCATTGATGCCAACGGCGCCAAACGCCTTCCGAAGCTTCTTCTTCCATTTCTGGAGAGCAGCTCCGGCTTCATGTGGACTCCAATCCTGGAGCGACATCGTCGATGGGTACGTCTCGTTCTCGAACCTCAGCGACAGCAGTAGCGAAACTGAATCCTCGGCAACTTGACTAGTCGAAACCGAGTTGACTGGGTATTGAAGTTCCTGCGCAAGCGCAGGCCAGTCGGCTTTTTCCTTGGGGATGGGCTTGAACAGCTGCATCCACTCATCATTCTGCATCAGCGCTTGTACGCGGTCGAAAACGCGCTTGGCGGCTGGTGTATCACCGTTGATAGGTGGGCGAGGTGCCTTCAGCAGTGCTGAATGATTTGCACTCGCCACCGAAGGTTTAAAACCCTCGGTCCCATCATCATAACCATCATAGGCCGGTTCCGGTCCCGCAACATCATCGAGCTCGTCGGCGAGGTTCCTCGAAAGGGACTTGGTCGCCCCGCTCAGCCCCGATGATAGCGTGGCCGTCTCCGGCGTCGCTGCGCCTGGCTCTGGAGCCGGCGTCTTATCTTCGTAATCTTCATAATCGTGAGCGTCAGGACCGATGTCCGCTTCGTCGTCGAAGCTCACTGAAAGCTCGGTGGCGGCTGCAAAGCGCGCAGCCGGGCTTGAACTCTCGTTGCGAGCCCCGCCAGACTTGGCAGGCGTAACTGGTACCGTCGGTTGTCCTTTCGCCATGTTTCTTGTCTTTTTCTTGTTCTTCTTCTCTTGGTAGCTCGTAAACTGGAAGGCCATACAAACAGTTCACAATGGTCACAATCTGTTCCCAGGTCGCGGCACCAGTTGTGGTGTTGGAAATCCCACGTGAACTCTAGCTACAGATGTAGTTAGGATGTTCCCACAACAATACGTCTACTAGGATAGTAAACGATCGTTCGGGCGGACCTGAAGACCCCAGTTCTGCCCTTGCACCGGGACAAACTGGACCTTGTAAACTACTTATATAGGCCAACCAGTAAAATAAGAACACGCTACTAGCACGAGCAAAGCTAGCAGGTGTTTTGAATCCTCGTGGTCCCAACAGCGGAAGGGTACCAGGCACGGGTAAGCCTTTTACGAGATCACCGAGTGTTCAACACTCGGCTGGAAGAAATAAAAGGGAGGCAATTCAAGCACTCCCAGTCGTGCAAATAGGCAACAATAAGCCGTCACGTAAAACCTCCCGATAATAATCGGCCAATACACAAAGTCTCTTGGCCTTGCCGGATGAACCCTCGCTACAGAGCTTCGAGTTCACCGACAGGCATAACACACTCAAACAAGCTTGACCTGACGCTTACCTTGAAGCCGGACGTCGCTCTGTGTGCTTGAGTGGAAATTCTGTTCTGTATTTAAGCTTACCCTTTCGGGTCTATTCCTAATAAGAAGTCCTAATCAAGTATACAAATATCAAGTGAACAATGATCCGTTATGGATCTTCTTGCATGCCAAGCGTCGTCTGCACTGTCGCATGAGCATCTTTAACGGTCCGCGCCCTGTCCCAGACGGTGAACGTGTCTTCCAAAGGTCGCTGAGTATTCCGCGAACTCATCCCAACCGCCACTGAGGGTTCGTACCGTAGATGGTCCGCTGAATGCGAATCCGGCCAGTCCATTATTAATAATAAGGACAGCCTGGATTCAGTGACATAGGGCCGTATCCGATATTTGTTGAAAACTCGGAGGTGACGCCGTCGAGTCCCTTGCACCTTGGCGTCTCCGTACATCACCCGACCGAGGGTTCGTCGCTTGAACAACTTGGGCGGTGTCACGTCTTTGTCGACGGGTGATAATCCGCAACCACGGAGAAATCACTACACCACAGCTTGCCTTCCTCGAAATAAACCGTTGCCACTCTGCGGTCGAAACGCCGGGTTTTCTTCAGGGGGAGGCCGATTAGCTAGACTTTGGTTGAGTTTTTAAACAGAGTCGGGAATCACTATCTCTATCCTCATAGAGCATTACGAGCTTGTTTTCGTTTGTGGGAAGGCTTGGGTCCTGGCTTCAGCCCACGTTTACCAATACGGTCTGGGTCACTTTGAAAATGAGGAACAATCATGGATGAGTCGGATTCGAGTGTGACATCTGTAGGCCAAGGCTTGACCGCGAAAGTGTATGTGTCTTGAAAATGCCCAATTGAAGTTCTAATCTTGTCGTATAGCTCTTCAAATCTGCTACCATTGTGAACGGCAGCGCAAATTGCATGAATGCACGGAAATTTTCATCCTTCCAATTACCACACGTACACTCAGTGGCCGGAAGATCAACTACGCGCCAGGGGTGGATATATCCATGCTTTCTCTGGGGACCAAGGTGCTGAACCGAAAAAGCGCCATCTAGGAGAGGAGTTATTGCACACATTGAAGCAGCCTTGGCTCGATCTTCCAGCTCCCTTTGCAATAGAGGAACCAAACGATGTCCACCGCTGTTACTAATCCGTTTCGACGCCAATTGTCGTTTTTTCAGACGTGAGTTCACTAAGGCGCTTGAAGTACATGTGAAATGCGTCAAGAGGTTTGGAACTCCTCATTTCATTACCCATCCAATTGTTAGCTTGTTCGGACAAATTTGAGGTAATCTCTCCGAACGTTGGCAGTCCGAATGTTTCGCAAAATTTGTGTTTGACTCAATGTTTCTGGTCGATGTTGTCCAGATATTCTACTGCCTTGGGCTTAGAAGCCAGTAATTCACTTCAAAAAAGCTTGTAGTCATTTTCGCAGTCGCTACGAGCCATAGAACAAATTAAGCGCCTGTCGTCGATAGAAAGCTTGGCACCAGAACGATTGATGATATCCATAATAATATTAGACAGTAGCGGTGTCCTGCTGAAGGATAAACCTCGGCAACGGCGGACAAGAGGTCCTTTTGGCGATCCGAAATTATTGTGATTTTGTCCAAACCAGTAGCTGTTTTCACAGTTTCCATGAACCAATGCCAATTCTCGTAGTTTTCAGTCCCAACAAAAGCAAGGGCAAACGGAATGACATGGTTGTTGAAGTCCTTCGCCGTAGCCACAAGGAAAACGCCTCGTTTGTTCATTTCACCTTTCAGGTGCGCTCCGTCGTAACCAGTTAGTTTCTTGCACATGTTAGCGATATGAATGCCAGCACTCGGAACGAAACATGCACGACGAAATGTCAAATTATCCGCTTCACGGTCAATTTTCCAGACGCTGCCTGGAGAAGTCATTTCTAATGTGAAGAACGAAGTAAAAGACAAAATAGCTTCGTATGATCTATAAAATACCGAAGGGGCTGAAGATAAGTAAGAAATAAACTATTAATAGTAATTAATAGCAAAATGCTGTTGAAAAAGTGGTTTGTAGATTATATTATTAGCTGCGAACTTAAGTGTACTGGTTTTTTGTACAATAACTGTCTGGAAATATGTACTGGATCGGTAGCTATATCCCAGAGTTATTTGTACAGACTGGAAGAAAACAGTACAAAGTACTGTTTTCTGGAAATTCCTCGGGGGGGCGGTCTGTAGAAGATTATGCTGTACGTAATGCAAGGCTGTACAAGGCTAGAGTCTTTTTTGTTTGTGATTTTGTAAAAATATTCATAAGCACCAATTTGGTGCAAGAAGGTCCTCGCTCACCCCTCCCATACAAAAACTAGGCAATAATGTAGCCATCTGTCGTTGTTTGTCCGCCACCTGACCTGTCCCAATAAAATTGATTCCTCGTTATAAAATCCTGAAAAATCCGAAGATAGGATAATTAAATGTTTTGGGTGCTCAAAATCCGACTGACGCTTCAATTTATTCAGTTAGATCAGTGAGAGTGTAGGTACTACATGCTCGGTCAGTCGTACAGACTGCACACTCCTAAAAGATGGGACAACATGCCGCTTTAGAGGTTTTTTTAGTTTCATCTATTCAAGACGTATATTCTATTCAAGAGTCCCTTATCCCACCATCTTTGTTTTGACACCCCTCCTGACAGGTTTTGCAAAAATATCTCAGCTGTAGCTGAGTATGCGACTTGATTGGCGGAAACCTCCAGCTTCTTAGCTTTTCAACGATACTTGTGGTAAAAAAGGGTCTTATTGGTCGATCCAGGAGAAAGTTTAAAAAAGATACAAAAATTCCTGACCGACCGGCCGAAGAGCACCTTTTTGCATGGAATTGGTGTTATATAAAATGGCTGCATTTAAAAATGCAGCCATTTTACATGAATCAATATCTCCACTGGTCACCGAAGGTGTCTCAGATAAACAGGCTAGCTGCACGACTTGTTTTACCGAAGATGACATAAAACACAGTCGCAGAAATGCTGTCTTTTAGCGTTTTCACCACTTTAAGTTTAAATAAAAACCATTTAAAAATGCTCTTAAAAATGTATTTGGAAACACCAAAAATGACGTCAAGTCGCGGGTAGGGTCGTATTACAGCTCAAGGGATTTTATTAATACATGTAAGCTTAAAAACGTGGGCTTATTTATCTGTCAGTCAACCCATCTTGGACAAAATACCGGTACACGTCCCCTTTTTGGCAAGCAAATTTGATCTGGCGTGGCCCACACCTTATGGACCGCAAGCTGGAACCGTAACCGCAAAGTGAGGACCGCCGACCTCTCCACCATTCATATCACGGCTTTGAGCTTTACCAGCGCGATTGAGCCAAGGCAAACCACTCGCCTTCTTCCTTTCTTCGTGACCCAGAACAGCGCAATCATGGTAAGCTATTGCGTCATTGAAAGCAGCTACAGGCCAGCGGAGCGTAAAAGAATGAGCGAAAGCAGTGAAATTGGAGAGAGACGGAAAATGCAGCAGCGGAGAAGAGGATCGCACGCAGCAGCAACATTACAGGAACATATTTGGAGAGCGATCCAGACTCAATAAGGCTAGCGATTTATCAATATTTCACACTCTCTCCAGCTGCCAAACCATTCCATACGGCTCCGTTGCTTGTAGCGATGGAAATAGGCTCATGAGACTAAAGCAGAAGAAGCTAACGAATTATTTTGTACCCATTACAATCAGTCTCGTGACCTTCTGCACCCGTCCGCCGCCGAGGAGGCCTCCAAGCACAAGCTTCGCCGTCTCGTACAGGCCCCCAACTCGTACTTCATGGACGTCAAGTGCCCTGGTTGCTTCAACATCACGACGGTGTTCAGCCACGCCCAGACGGTCGTGCTGTGCGGCTCGTGCTCCGTGATGCTGTGCCAGCCTACGGGCGGTAAGGCTCGCCTCACTGACGGCTGCCAGTACCGCAAGAAGACGGAGTAAGTTTATTCGTGGACACACTCAGGCGTTGGCTATCGATCCGAAAATGGCTCGATAGTCGCAACTAGATATTCGACGACGCAGGAACGGAGAAGGAACCAAGCAAGAAAGCAAGTTGGCCACGCCCGCGATTTTTTTCAGCTCGCACGCTCACTCGCTTTTGACTCGCTCGGGATCTCGATGTGTCTTGTGAGGAGAGGAAGCCAGTAGGTCGGCTGGATCGGGTTGGTACGCTGCGTCTTGTACAGGGTAGCTGCTAACGTGAATCGAGGGACGTAAGAGTTGATTATTTTGCGGGCTTTCTTTCGGTCACCTGTTCTGGTGTCTTTTCTGTTGTTATGTTGCTGGTGGATCCATTTTGCCAAAAAGAGTCAACTCCTACAGTCTGGAAATGGTAAAGACGTTGATGGATGAGAATGTGTTTTTTTCTTTTTGTTTTTTTAATGAAGTAAAGTATCACTTCACTCGTGTGCTGGGGCGTTTTTCTCATATTCACTGTGTGTGTGTTTTGTTTTTTGCCATACCGGTAACCTTTCTCTTTGCATTGCATCTACAAAACGCCCTGGCCTGCACATGCTCACTTGACTGCTTGTATGTCCATTCCACTTTTCTTCATGGGAGCCAACTCAAAATAATGAGGCAGCTCGTCTCAAGCGTTGCTGTGTCAACAGTGTGTACACTTAGGCGTGGATAGCAGTTCTATCCTTCTCCGCCACAATCCACGTGCTGTCGTCCTCCAAGTCCAAGCGCTCAGCAAGCGCCATGATCGACCCCGTCTCCAGCAAGTACGACACCAGCTTGTCGTTTGCGTTCACCATCTCGTCTAGCACATCGACGTTCACGTCCTCTTCAGTCGCCACTTCCTCTTCATCGCCAGGGGTAGTTGCTCCGCCGTCCTCTTCCTCTTCGTTCGACTCATTGGAGCCGTTCTCAGAGCCTGAGTCGTCTGCATCCTGCCGTCGACGTCGACCGCCTTCCGACTTAGTAGACGAAGCTTCATCTGAAGACGAGTTGTCCTGTTGCTGTCCCTTTTGCCGCTGGTCTCGCTTCGATCCTTTCCCATTGCTACTCGGAGCTGCCTTCTGACCTCGAAGAAGTGCCGCCTTGCGCTCCTTCGTACGCTGACGCTTCTTCTGTCGCTTGCTACGCTTTGAGGCCTGTCGCGCCTGTTTTTCATTCGTCTCCTTCTCCGTCTCCTCCTTCCAGAGACTCTCCTGGTATTTAAGGTGGAAGACCGTGCAGTCGCAGTGCTTACATACGTTGCACTTGCACTCGGCGCAGAAGAATGTGTCGTTCGAGTGTTTCGAGAATGGGCCGAGGCAGATTGCGCACGTGACAAAGTGTTGCTGCCAGATGCGCGACGCACGCTTCGCCACAGTCGCCGACTTGTGTGACACCAACGTCTCTATGTTCGCGGAAGCCATCAGACTTGCATACGGATTGGGCGAGTCCGTGCGCTTTGCCTCCAGCTCACCGACCTGAAGAATGCGTTCCAGTCCTTCTAGTGCCATCATTACCATACTCGTTTCCTCCAAGAGATTGCCTAGGATCTGAATGCAGCCCTGATTCACGAGGTATTCAATCTGACTATCCGATCCGCACGAGGTGGCGTTGAGCACAACCCAGCAGGCTTCACTCTTGACCTCTGCATCCGTCGCGTCAGATGCTGCCAGTCCCATCAAGGACGGGATACAGCCAGAGTCAAGCACGCACTGGATCTGGTCTACAGTACCGGCAGCGATGTTCGACAGCGTCCAGCAAGCTTCCTTCTGGATCTCGCGATTCGAATGGGCGATCAGTCTCCGCAACGAAGGCACGGCGCCACACTCAATGATGTGCTGGGTGTAGTCGTGGTCGTCTTCAGCGCACACGATGTTCCCAATCGCACGTAGAGCTGGCTTCGTGACGCGCCACGACGAGTGACTCAGCAGCTCCACGAGTCGGAAACACACGTCCGAGTCCACCACAGCCTGGATATGAGTACTTGGTCCATCACAGAGATGCGAAAATGCCCAGCATACGTGACTCAAGATCTCTGTGTCCGTGCTAGTAAGCATCTTAGCCAGATACGGCAGGATGAGTCCGATGTCAAACACTGGCCGCGGCTGGCCGTCACACAAGTTGCTGATAGTCCAGGTCAAGATTCGAAGCAGCGACAGTCGGTCCCACGAGGTCTTCTTCAAGTTGTTCACCAGCGGCGTCAGCGCACCAGCACTCAGCACGAGGTCCCTCGTCGCAGCGCCTTCGCCCGCCAAGTTCCCCAGAACCCACACGGATTGCTCCAGTACCTACTCGATCCACCCCAACGTACACCAAATTCTCAGCAAACCAGCTCACAACGTGCTGAATAGGAGATCCTCCTCCCATTACCAGTCCTACCTCTTCATTCGACGAGTCCAACAACGAAACAAGCGTTGGGATCACACCGTTCTGCAGCAATACCGACGTGTTGTCAGTCGCTCCTGCTGCAATGTTGGTAAGTGCCCACAACGCTTCAACTTGCAGAGTCGGTCGGTCTCGCAGCCTCAGCCACTTGATCAAACGTGGGGTCCAGTTCTTCTCTAGCATCTTTACGGACATCAATGAGTCAGTACGGTGGTGTTCCCCACGCACCCAAAACGACTAAGCACTACCTGACGAATCAGCAGATCTCTCTCCGACGACAGCAGCACACGCAGCTTCTTAGCAGCTTCAAGTTGGACGTCGGCATCCTCCGAGTTCAGTCCGGCGTCGATCTGGTTCAGATCTCCCTGGAACGTGGGCGACGCCGCAAGAGCTCCAGATCCGACGGACCCATCGACTCCACTCCCTCCTAGGCTGCTATTCGCCAGTCCGCTAAGACTGCCGTTGGCCAGCAAACTCGCTCCATGCGAGAGGTGATGATGATGATGGTGACCATGCGAGTGCAGCGAAAACTGAGGCTGTGGCGTCAGGGCCGAGCTAGCTCCAGCGGAAGCTGAGACGCCAGACTTCCCAGGGCCTCCCATGTGATGGATCGTAGTGGTCGTGGACGTCACGAGCGTTGCGTTGCCCCCGCGGTGTGTGGCCTGATGGTGGTGCACAATGTCCCCGTTCTCGGTGCGGTGCGCGCTAGTCGTCGATTTCTTGAGCGCCAGATTGGCCTGCGACAAAGTGCTGGGTAGCGCCGCCACTGCTGCGGCTGTGAGCTCGGCCACGTCGGTGGGGGACAGGAACGCTTTCTGGCTGATGCTCGCCTTGAATGAGCCGCTCATTCGCCCCTAGTACTGGGTGGAGCGTGCACAAAAGATTAGGGGGCGGGGGCTGTGGCCTGCGCTCTTGCCTGCTAATGTACGATGGAAACACACGCAATTGAGAGCTTAGACGACGGCGGACCAAGACGAAAATGACACTAGGCGGACGACGACAAGCGTGCACAGCTTTTAGGCTGGTCACCGATGCCAGATTCCACGCGCAGCAGCTGGGAGCGACCGCGCAACGCACCTCTTCTAAGACCTCAGAAGGCGCTTTGAGAGCTCCTCGGCGTCTTCTTCGCTTTGGTCGCTTGGTCGCTGGAAGGTCAATTCTGATGTTTTACCCTAAACTATTGCATTTTAAGTAATTTGCACCTAATGAAAACATTTTTGTCTCTTTATTAGAGATACCGGTAGGAGTATTTGATACTTGCTGGTTCAAAGATATGAACACATGACAGATTTTGAGTTGAAGGAAGAGGACCGAGAGAGACTCGCGTCAGACAGGTTGATGGGGACGCGCGGGGTGTTTGTATTGACTGGTGTATTCCGTTGCAAAGCCACCAAGCAATAGTTTGGTAAAGATATTTGCCCGGGTGTTGGTCAATGCCTCCAGTGCACAGTTTGGTTGAGCTACAAAGCGTAACAAACGTACACGAGCATCTAAAAACTATAGCGCTCACCAGCTCCGTTCCTGTGGGCGGGGGGGGGCATACGTACTGTGCATTTACTAATACTGCGTTGACGGCTTATAGCGCAAGTATAAGCGCTGGGATTAGCAGGATGTAACACAGCCATCGTATAACACCCACACACTCCATCAACTCCCATCAAAGACAATATAGTATTAATACATGCATTAGTTCAGACAGCCCACCCGCCTGATCCGTACACGCACAACTGCCGAGATGTCATCGTGCCAAGGAGCGCAGAGCCAGAGCTCCAACTGTTCTGAGCGACGGCGTGCTGGATGTCCACCACTGGCATAGCAGCGCAGGCCACACTATTAATAAGACACGTAGGTGTTGGACCGCTTACCTCGTGTTGAGTAGTGACATTCCACATCGTCACGTCTTCCACGTCGTGAGACCAAGAGGCCACCACCGAGGTGCCATCCGCTTCTGACCACATCGCTGATCGAGACAAGACCGACGGTGCCTTGTGACCAACGACTTCCATTCGTGGCGAGAGCCGCCCGAGCCCAACCGTGCGCAAGTCAAAGACGCTGTGCTTCATTGGTGTAGAACGCGACGCAACCACCACTTGATTGGAGTGTAGCTGGTTCGATGCTAGTGAAAAGCACACCTGGTCGCTCGGTACGTGCGAGAAAGGTGAGGCTCCAACCGAACCATCACCGGCATCTGCAACATCTCTCCAAACTGACAGGCCACGGAATGTTGCTGCTGCTAGACCCTCCGTACCTTCGGGGGTCTGGAATAACTTAATCGAATGCACTGGTTGCCGTTGCGGGAGCGAAAAGCTCTTCACGATGCCCTGCTCGCCAGCAGCTGGCTTTCGATAGTCGTATTTGGCCACACTGCCGTCTTGAAAGCCGCAATACATGGCATAGGGATCTGTTTCGCCGAAGGTGCACGACCAACCTTGCCGTTTACCGGAAGGAAGCGCAATCTGCAGCGCCACCTTCTTATCTTGAAGACTAGTCATAGCCAGCTTACCATCGAATGCCACAGTGAGTACAAAATTTTCGGAGCGATGAATGCTGATGTCGCGTACGTCGGAGCTGTGGACGGGTAGTCGAATCCCCAGCGTTGGGTCCTGAGAGCTCAGCATTAGAATACCATGAGACCCTTGGGCGATTGTATCACCAACACACAGAAATCTGCACGACCGGGCAATACTGAACACGCGCGCACCCAGCAAGGGCACACCAAAAATGGGCTTGTACTTGCAAATAGCAGCAGCGAGTGAAGTGTTGTCGAGCTCTGTCGATGGATGTGAGGTGGAGGGAGCAGGAGGCATCGAGTGTAGCTCGCCCTCTGATGGACGATTTGCCGTTTGTGAAAGAAATTGCGACTTAGTAACTTGACCTGCAGCTTGTCTAGCAACAGCAAAACCTAGACCACTGCTACTACTGGACGCAGCAGCAGCACTAGAGAGCTGCTCCTGCGCAGCTTTACACTGCATATCTGCGATAGCCTTTTTAAATCTGGTCAGCTCCCCATTCAGTCGCGTGGACTCTTTTGTCTTCGCCTGCATTTGTTTTTTTAGTTCTGCTACCTCCTTCTCCAATTTGCTGTTCTTCTTCCTTTCTTCGTCGAACTTGTTGGTCATATCTTCCAGTCCAGAATTATCTACCACCGCCACGTGATCCGAGAACAACAGACAAATGTCTGTGCGTCGCACTATTGCGCTGCAGTTAGGACACGTGCGCTTCTCACAGATCCAGCGCTCGATGCATTTCTTGCCAAATAAGTGACCACACTTGAGCGCCACGAGGCGGTGGCGTCCTACAATTGTGCAGTCTTCGCAGCAGATCGTGCACTCCGTCGGTTCCGGTTTCGTCTCTAATATCGGGCGCTTGCGTTTACGTGATGCATTAGGGTTTTCCAGCGCTCTTCGTGCAGCTTCCGCCACCTCCGCGGCAGACTCCTCCGCGGATAAAATCTGCACGTCATCATCGTCACTTTCTGCGGCTGCGATGGGCTCGGACCTGTTGCTGTTGGTTGGCGGCAATGCGAGATCGACCATCGACGACGCGGGGCGGTAACTAGCCGCGCCTTCGATCTCCCTGTCACTATCGCTTACGTCAATGCAACTCTCACTACTGCCGCTGTACCCGGCGTAGTCTTCAGCTTCTTCCTCGTCGGAGCTGGGAAAGTAAAATAATTCTCTGTACCAATTTAAAGAGATTTTGTTTTTGAGTGTAACAAGAAAATGTAACAATGATCCCATTGGCTGATATCGTGCTTCTTCCAATGATTTACCGAAAAGCAATTGTCAAAAAAGCATCAGAAATTAGGGTTGCATGCTTCCCTTGCAAATGTAATAATCAAAATCAGAGCAAACTGGAAAGTAAGAAAACGGGACATCCTAATTGGACAAACTGCCCCTTTAGCCCTATTACACCTCGCCGATACGCATATCGAGAAGACCCAGCTGCTCTAGACGGCGTACGACATTATCTACCTGCACTTTGAATTCCTTGTCGTCTTCAATTTCTTTTAGCCCTTTATTAAATCCGCTCGCAATAGTGGTCGCCATTAGCTCACCCCATGCTCCTGCAACCCAAGCAATGACATTCGACCGAGATGGAGCAGCCATCGTCTACGGTTTAGACGCAGCCATTGCCAGCTCGTGCGTCTTCATTTGATCCTATAAGAACAAAATTCATTGCTCGCGTAGACGGAGCTTGAGTGGGCGGCTCCATGCGATATCAACTGGCTGACATATTCCAGTGCAACCCGCTGGCACATGCATCAGGTCCACGTTGAGTTCCTTGGCACATGCTAAAACAGCACCCGTCCAATGGCCTGAGAGTTCGTCGATCAAAAGCAGCACCGGTGCCTCCGTGTTTGCCCTCACACCAAAGTGAAAGCAAGAAAGTCAACAGTGAGACCTTCGTTCCACCAGCTGTTAGAGTTCCCGCAGATGACGACGTTGGGCTGTGCTTAAAGTGGCTCCGCCGATTTCCAAAGCAGCTTGCCAAACCCATGCCCCTCCCCCCGTCAGACATGTACGAAGACTGGACGATGGACCAGCTACGACTGGAGTGCACGTCGCGCAAGCTGAACGTGAACACAAATACGTGCAAGAACGACCGCGCCAAGTTACTCACGGCTTACGATGATAGTAAGGCTAGCGTGGAGCTACTATTACAGCCACGAAATTGTCATCTGCAGCATATTTTCTGGTGAGATGCTTTCGGTCCCTGTACGCCGTTCTGACTGCATCTCACTGCGAAGTAGAGCAGACCTTATCAGTAGAAGTAGCCTCTCAAATGATTCAATCTCCATGCGATAGCATTGCATAAACTGTCCCTCCAAAAGCAGTGGTTGTTTGCGTAGATTCCAGTCGAGTCTCACGCAAATTGAAGCCTCGGCAGGGAGAAGTGCGGTAGCTGCCGCGACAGCTCCCAAAATGGCTTTACCTCACTTTCTTCATCCAAGACACTAGCATATTTTTGAGATTTTTATGCGTGCTGGCGCGCCCCGTATGATCCCGATCGTCGCGCGATCCGAGCCACGGGTCGTGTAGATTGCTAATCATGTATTCGCCGCATCTCCTCTAGTGTACCGTCGGCCAATCAACGCGCGACAATCGGATCGCGACCCGAACCTTTTAGGTTGAGGTCGCTCCGAAGAGTGAAAGAGTTAAAGTGAAAGAGTTAGCTCTTTCACTATCGCTCCCACAGATAGTCTTTAAAGACACTGTGCTGTCCATACAGAGACAAACTATTGCGTCCTATTGGCTGGAAATAAAAAGAGAGTTGCTCATAATTGCTTAGGTACACGATGCTGTCCAGAATGAATCAGGCCTAACACTTTCTCGAACTACCAAACCGTCACTTCTATGAGCATGCCATTAACCCGCCGCAAAAATCTTTGAGCACATGCCCTGCTGGACCATCAGCAATGGACACGACGGAGGCCAAACCGTACGAAGTGTAGATGCTCACCACACCGTCGGTGGCCATTGTGCTCGTGGCCAAGGTGAAGGCAATGCGTGCGGGGCGACGCTCGCCCTAAAGGCCGCACTACCGTACTCATCCGCAGCGGAGACAATTTAGACCGAGCCGTACGAAAGGTTCATAGTCACCAGACTGTTGGTGGCTGCCATGCTCGTGGCCGAGATGCACTCGATACCTGCGGTGGCGACGTTCGCCCTAAAGGCCACACTACCGTACTCATCCGCAATGGACACAACGGAGATGGACTCGCACGAAACGTACATGCGCATTACACTGTCGGTGGTCGCCGTGCTCGTGGCCAAGGCGCTCTCAATACATGCAGTGGTGCCGCAATGGACACACTGGAGACCGAACCATACAAAATATAGATGCTCACCACACCGTCGGTGGTCATCATGCTCATGTCAAAGGTGCGCTCAATGCACGCGGTGGCAATGGTCACAGATAAAGCTGTACCAGCGTATTCACCGCATGTAACCGCAGCGAGCACATGTAAGGTCAACTTGAACGCAGCGCTGTTAGTACCTATGGAAAATGCAGTGGAGAATTGATATGTTCCCAAAAAAGGAGTTTGATTCAGAGAGCCACCCCACCGGAAAGAAGAAGTATGATTCAGGGAGCCGTCCCACACGTTTGCACAGATTTAGGTGCGTCTTGGCCACGAACATCAACCGCGCGGTGGACGGATCTGCTCTATGAACCGAACGAAGTCGTTGCACTGTGTAATCAGCATGACCACGAACGTTGCTGTACCTAATTTCATGCGACAATCGATGTTCTCTCTGGCACTTAATAGTATATGCTCTTTGGTAATTGGGGTGCAATGTAAAACATCGTGTAGATATCGCAAGCAGTGGCAAAGGTTAATGTTGGGATTTTCGGATAGAGGCTTTCAGCTCTCGTCGACCAATCCAAGCGCTTTTAGGCCCCACCGCGCTCACCCACACATATTCAGCTAGAAGGAGCCTATCCAGTATAGACGGCTACGTTACTCAGCAGCGCTAGGTACACACCATTGTTTGACAGTTAAATTTCTCTGCTCTGTTCCAACCTGCATGATAATGCAGCCTCTCGACAGTCTTGTCGTGGGCAGGGGATCTGCACGTTGATTTTTTGCGGTGTATCACTTGCACGTCACAACGCAAGAGCTAAATATCGCTTATTGAAACATTCATTGTAACGTGCCAGATATTTACTCCGTTACTTGCTTACACTATAGTGTTGAGGAAGCTCACAATAGGACGACTGAGTCATAGGTTTAAGGAAAAATCAACTACAATAATCGCTCTCACTTCCGGTATCGTGGTCCGACCATATCCTAGGATTTGATATATTTTCTTAAAGAAGAAAGCTACAGTACATTTACAAGGTAACTGAGAGGCAAGGATAATAACATCTTCTACGTCTACATCGGGTCCGTAGCTAGTGTGACCGGCCGCTTTACTTCTTTCATCAGCGGCATTAAAAAGAATACCCGTATGGTGAAAACAATTCTCAATGGTACGCTTACCGTGTAAAGCTTGCCAAATTTCCTTGCTCCACTGTATTGCCTGCAGCTGGTCCACTTCATACGCCTTCCTGTCAATCTCAACACCGTCCTTGATCTTGTCGTACACCCATTGCAATTGCTTCTTACGGTACGCCGTTTTGAATGACGCGATGACGCCAGCGTCCATTGGCTGTAGGAACGCTGTAGAGCTGAGCAATTCGCGCCAGAATCCCCGTCAGTACACCCTCCTTAAAGCGATTGTATCGATATTTTAGGGATATTATTTTATACCAGTACCGGAATGGAGAGCGATTACTGTATGACTTTATTTTAGGACCAAGTCCACAGCCCTGGCCACTCAAATACACGTCATAGTCCAATTGGCTAAAAATGGGTCTGGCTCCCCATATATCAGCCAATGGCTTGACAGCATTTTTAGCACACGCTAGTCGTGTGCTGACGCACCTACTTGTGTAAAGAAATCTACCTACTTATGTAATGGAGGGGTCCATTACATTCATTCAGATTCTTCTTTTCTTTGCTTTTTGATGCTCAATCTACTATTGCTATTCACCAGTTTACAATTTTTCTCATTCCGATGCACTGTAATTTTTTTTTAAATAATTTTCGCGGTTTTTTTTGTCACAACGGTTGTTGTTGTGGCATCGCCAGGGCGGATACACGGGGTTTGGTACAATAGAGTCCTGTTCTCGAGACTTTTAGTTTGGCTACTAGCATGTCGCTCATCAAGGACAAGCTTGCTTACGACCAGCACACGGTGAGCTGACAGCATGGAGACCTTGACTCTCTTGACTCAGTCAGCTAACTCGCCGAACACCAACCAATCCAGCAGTGCGAGATTAGAATGATTAAGTCTACACGACTTTCAGCGGGATAGACAACCCACCATGTAGCAGCTCCACA